GCTCATATAGTAGATATCAGTTTTGATCGCCAGTATATCCTATAGTAGATATCAGTTTTGATCGCCAGTATATCCTATAGTAGATATCAGTTTGGATCGCCTGTATATCTTATATTAGATAGAATAGTTTCGAGAGTGACGAATTTCCTAATTTATTGGATAGTTGCTCTTTTCTTCTACTAGGTACAGATTTCAAATTCCTAACAGAATAAAGCTTTCATTAAAAACGTCGGCAAATTGGCAAATTATATTGTGAAATATTAGTTCGTGCCGTTTTGTCACGCTTTGGGTTGAATGCCTTCGATGCAATCTAATATATTGTGCATGGTGCTCATTCTGTATTTTAAATCATCCACTTAAGGCTTAAGCTGTCTTTGAGGGCACAGTAGAGTGAAAGGGGAAGCAATCCTATTTTTTATCCTGCTTTACAAAACTTGAGTAATTTCAACTCATCATTTGCTCTCAACAGCCGCGATTATAAAGGCGGTGATCAGCAGAAAATTTTATTCTTTCTTTAGGCGGCTCACGATAACGGTATTTCGCTACGATTATTTTTCCTTTTTCGATATTTATTTCTTATTATCGGAAATACTGTATTATTTTCCTTGTTAAGAATCAATTGAAGTTATTAGATCGATTAGAATTCACTCAAAAAAGAATTTATTCTTGAATAAGTTGAATTATCCGTTTTAAATTAATTTTTTTTAAATAGATGAAAATTGCATCCCACATAGTTCATTCTTCGTCGTTTTTCCTCCAAAGCTGGGGATGAATGTCAGCCTACGAATACTAATTGATGAGAGAGCAGCTTAGCGGCTTTCTTAATGCGGCTCTCAAGAAGAAAATAATTAATTGAATCCTTTCATCTTATATTCAGAGAATCGAGGGTTCTAAATATAATGGCTTCTTAGCCGGTGTCGGTGTTTTGATACTTGAGATTCTTTGTGGAGTATCATTAAAACTTTTTTATATTTTTCATCGCGAAGGTTTTGAATTTGTGTCTCTTATTTCAAAATACTGGTAATCATTTTTCTTATAGCTAATTATCGCCGAGCGAGCTCTAGTGTAACCAACGACCCTAGTCTTGAAACTTCGATATTGAATCAGCCATGCCGGGCGAGCACCTCTCTATGGCTGACGTCAACAGCCCAGACAAATGAAGATCGCAACAAATACGTAGCTATCACCTCTCTATGGCTGACGTCAACAGCCCAGACAAATGAAGATCGCAACAATGGCTGACGACTACCGCCACAGCACCATAAGATCTCAGCCGTGAATGGATGACCCTGAGCCACAAAGGCTGACTATCCACAGCCACACTCTGCTGCCAGCCGATCGAAAGGCGGTCGAGTGATAGAGCTCTTGAGATCCTCTAGAGCCGTGGTTCCTATGCTATTTGTGATCGAGTACCACTTATTGGTCCCGTACCGTCGCCGAATGTACCAGCCGCGTACCACCAACTCAAATACATACGATTATTAGTCGCTATTATACATGTATAGTATTAGCTCCATATATGTATTTGTTGCCATTGCGCTAATAATGAGCACATTTAGTGTGGCTTATGTGTTTGAATTTGACGCTGAGACTCAATGAACTGGTACTTATATTATCAGTCTGCTTATATCGCAAGTTCACAAGGAATTTAAAAGCAAAGAAAACACCAAGCAAATTCACCATATCGATATTGAAAACGTTTCGGAGTCCAGCTCCATCATCCGTTCGAAAAACTAAAAATGAATAAAATCAAATTATTATATCAAATTGTAAGACAGACATAAAACCTAAACCAGACACTAATGCTAGGTCTTGTTTAGGTTTTATGTCTGTCTTAGAATTTTGATATAATAATATGATTTTATTCATTTTTAGTTTTTCGAACTGATGATGTAGCTGGACTCCGAAACGTTTTCAATATCGATATGGTGAATTTGCTTGGTGTTTTCTTTGCTTTTAAATTCCTCAATGAACTGTTGGATGTCGTGTGGCAACAGTTACCAGATAATCTTATTTTGGGCATTGCACATATAATTCAAGTATTTATAAGAAATGCAATTCAATTATTTCATCGCTTGATGAAACAATTTAAAATCGTTAACTCGGCACGACCGAACAATCCTGACATGTTAGGGAGATTTTATGAGAGAATTCGTTCCTGGTCAAGATACGCGATTGCTGAACTTTAGTCGATCTAAGAATTTGTTTTTTTTACGATACACGAGGGAAAATATTCTCTTGATCGAGTGCAAGACTCCTGCTCGACTGAGACGTACGAGTGCAAGACTCCTGCTCGACTGAGACGCACGAGTGCAAGACTCCCGCTCGACTGAGACGCGCGAGTGCAAGACTCCCGCTCGACTTAGACGCGCGAGTGCAAGACTCCCGCTCGACTGAGACGCGCGAGTGCAAGACTCCTGCTCGACTGAGACGTACGAGTGCAAGACTCTCACTAGGAAACGCGCGATCGACAAGCCTCTTGATGCAAGAAGCTGATGTGCATTTGCATCGACGAGCCGAAATATCTGAGATGCATCAACACCTGCATCGCAGCGATGAAGTCTCATTCATTGCTGGAGCCTACGACTCACCGGGTGCATTAAAGTTGACTGAGTTCAGTGCTCAAGCGACGCATTAAAGAAAAGATGTTCGTCTACTAGGCTAAATGCTTGAATTTTCAGGGGATTGAATCGTTTTGAACAAATTTTCCTGCTTCAATTCGTTTGAATTAGCTGCGCAATAATTTAGTTTGTTTCCGTATCACTTTAGGAAGCTGTATATCCTCCACAGGCACATTTGAAAACACCATATGTCGTGCAATAGCTGAATTTAAATATTTTGTTAGCTAACTTTGCTGCAAGATAAATTAATCGATTCAAAAATCGGCTTCTCCCCAATCTTGAATGTTATCATTAAATAAAGTTCTTCATAGCAATTATCATGTGTTTACATTCATTGGTAGCTGCAAATTCGCCTTTTAATTAATCATTCATAGCTGAGCCTTATGCCCATTCATTCATACCACCGTCGCCCCATACCCTCAGTCGTACCACCTTCACCACCTTCATCATCACCAAGTCAGCTTTCACCTTCACCTTGAACTGGAAATCATCTGACGGCTGAAGTAGCGACGAGGCTGGGTACTGCAGCTGTATCTTTACCTGCAGTTGTATTGTTACCTACAGCTGTATTGTTAGCTGCCGGCAATTTGTTACCCGCAAATTTGTTATTACCGGCTGCTGCATTGTTGCAAGTGCTTTACTACCTCTGCATCTGCATCGTTGCCTGCAGCTGCATTGTTACGTGCAGCTGCTTTGCGTCCTGCAGATGTATTATTGACTGCATGCAGCTGCACTTTTACTTACAAATGTACTTTGCCTGCAGATCTATCGTTGCTTGCAGCTGCATTGCTACCTGCAGATGTTTCATTGCTTGCGCAGCTGCTCTGTTGGCCGCTGCTGACGAGTCACTTAGCCAGCCCGTTGAACTCGATATGGAAAAGTAATTTTCTACAGTAACACAAAAGCGTCGAATCTTCTACATTGAGACTGAGCTTGTGGTAATAACATCGCAATCAAGTGCCATCATGTCCGCTAAGGCAGTTAATACTTCGTTATGCCGTTAATGGAAGTGAGTGATCATTGTGTTATGGCTGGTAGTCAGGGTCTGAGAGCGAGGTATTCGCGACAATCGTGTGAAATCCTCGATAGGCCCTAAGCTCGGCCAGTCGCTACCCTCGAGCTTGTAGTCTTTGTAATACGATATCCTGGACATCCCCTTTATTGCGGTGACGAGCAGCTTTCAGGTGGCCGAGGAATTGCGAGCGGTCGGTTATAACTAATTAGACAAGGCCGACCACTGGTCATGTATTATTAAAACATTCGTTCAGGAATTAACATCAAACGTATAGCAAACAATAAATATTCCTCGCCCCTCATTGAGTTCGCCTTACCATGCCGCCCGTCGTGGACTGACAGCTCAGTAATTTACGACGTCTCTTTCCCTCATACCTTCCGCAAAGCCTACAATGAAACTGTTAATACACGCAAATTTCCCTCCGCGTATAACCATGCTCGATCATAACTAGTTTTTGGTAGGTAATATCTAAATACAAGAAGGAGACTGATCAAGAAAATGCCGAGTATAGCATTCAGTGGAGAATAAAAATTATAACCCGTTACATCTCGAAAAAAATGTAAAAGTCGCAGACTTGATGAAAATAAATATTCAAAATTTCATAAAATTCCCTCATCACAACTAAGTTAATACTAGGTTTACATATTTCTTGTAACTTTACACCGCTTTGTAAATAAGTGGCTGGGTAAGCAAGGAAAAATTCATATCGCCATCTCATTTACGAGTGGAGTAAAGTCCAGCCTATTTTGTGAAGAAACTTATAGGGAAGAGCCAAGCGCTTCAACTGGTCTCACGGCCTTATTATGGAAACTACCATCGCGTTACAATGCGTCTTCCGTGTGTAAATTTTGCTCTTAAAATGTAGTTATTTGACTTCTTAGAAGGTCGTTAACATTACACGCTGAATTTTATTTTTTATGTTAAGCTCCCGTTTTTATTATTCCACCCTCACTGTTCAGTGCTCATGGGCTGTTCTTCCGTGAGAAAATTTCTCACGAAGCGTCAAACTTTAGTCGCCATTATGATGTGCACAGTTTTTGTTAGAAATAAAATTAACGGGTTCTTGTGCTCTATTATTTCCATGAATACATTATATTACTATTATGAGTTCAGACCGTTTCAACAACAAACTAATTCATAACTAAGCTTGACCGGATTTGGATTATCCAATATCGTAAAGTGACTTATCGGTAATCCGTGTCCCATACTTGAATATATGACAATTTTTGCATATATTAACGATCTACGTGTTTATTTGTATTTCTTAGCTTCCGCGCAAAATTCTGCTAAAGTTTTAAGTTGGGAAAGTTTATCTGTTTTTTTTTTTATTTCAGCTCTCTGAATCTGTTTATTCTTCTTTGCAGGCGTCGCGCCTAGTGTGGTGTTCGACCGTCGGTTGCCTCCAGCTCCATCTCCCCCGACACACTCTCGACTGCCGCCAGACGGGCACGAGTTTCCCGTTTCGTATTCAGACTCGACGACGTGCGACAAACCGTCGCGATTCACTACGCCGCGTTCGCACTCACGATCCCGATCTCGTGACGGCAGAGAAGCGACCTCGACGACTTCATCCTACGGAGGAGCAGAAGGATCTGCCTCTCTCAATCGGACGTCATCTCTGTCGTCAAGATGGCGACGTCAGGATGAAAAAAGCGAGAAGAGCGTTCGTGACAAGATAGCCATGTTCTCTCAGAACAAGCGGGCCAAGAAGAGTGACGTATCAGATTATTTTGATGACAAAACCGATGGCGGAATGAGGGGTTTTTCTGAAACCGACATCAGCACTCGAGGCGGGTCGCCCAGCCCATGCTTATCGAAAACCAGCACCTTCAGCTCCATGATCAACGTCAGCTCAAACAATCCGGATACCGGAACCAAAGTCAAGGCGGCAGCATCTGAGGTGGACGTATGTCGGACCGGTAGAGAGACTGAGAGAACGATTCCTACACCAAGTCGAATCGATGTCTGCCAGGCTGATTGCAGTCAAGGCCTACACAGCAGATCGCAGAGTCTCGTGGACATCGAAAGAACCCACCATATTAAACGTCACAGCGTCAGTACTATCGAGCGACCCAACGAAAAACTTGAGGATAAAGAGAGACGTTGTTCCGTGACAACTAAAGCCGAATTACGGCGTAAAAGTCTTAGCAAATTACGAGGTCTTGTAATTCCTGAATCGATCACGAATGAAGCTTCTTCGAAACCTCCAATTGATCTCCCTCGTATTGGAAGTTCTCCTCCGCCTCTGCCCACTGCCACTCCTGTCTCGGTTACACAGAAAACTTTGTCTCTCCCACGCGACGTTAATCGGACTCAAAAAATTTATAAAACAGATTCCATTTCAAGCATTGAATCATGCGAGTCGAATGCAAGCAAACAAAGCTCAACGATCGGCAGCTCCCAGTCGTGGCGTAGTCATATTTCTACAAGCACTTCATCCAAATATTCCCCTGCCATCAAACGTAAATTCCCAGCGATCAGCAGACCAGATTCTCTTCCGCCGGTCAGCTGCCGGAACACCAGGAGCTGCAGTCCTGCTGCCGACTGCATCATGTCTCCGTTCAAGTCTAGCGATGGATTAATCACTCCCAATTCTGATCTAAGCTTTGAAATTGATTGTAAGCAAAGCAATAACAGGAACAGTTCATCCTCCAAGTCGGTTTTTGACTCTCGACTGAATCGTTCCGAAGACAGCGACAACGACTCGGCAGTGAGCTCCACCCTGTCTAGTTTCTCGCAAGGCATGACGCCGCCCGCTTCTCCCGTACCTGGTGGTTCAGATCCTGAGGAAGCTAAGTCTTCAAAATTGCACACTATACCTCGACATTCCTCACAAAGTTCAATGGATGAAATGGACACGAAACGAGTCCTGAAGACCGGCACGATAGAGGCAGAGAACCGTCGTAACGTTATCAAGAGCGCTAAGTGCAGCTCCGGTCGTAGTAGCGACGATTCTACTCCCGAACTCGCTCGAAAGTGTTCGTCAAAGAAGGATGAAAATTTTGCTTTGCGGCTTGAAACTGATTTGCGAGACGGTACTGTACGCCCTGGACTTAGAAAACAATCAGCCAGCGAAACTCGACGCTCGACAAATGATTGTTTGCCTGAAAATGAAGTGTTCTACGGCCCAACCGGAGAAAAAGATAAAATAAGGGTTGAGCAGGTTTATATTGATAAAGCGGGAGACATGTATAAAGAATCTGAAATCAAAGTTGCGTATTTGAACGAAGTTTCTGACAGCTTTGAGCATGAACTGACCGACATACCTTCAACCGATGTGCCTTCAGATGTGGTAGCTGAGGTACCACTTAAGAGATTTCATCAAGAATTTAAATTACCCATGTCAAGTGATCGTTGGGCTCAGCTCGAACAGAAATATGGAAACAATTCTGATGACTTTGAAGCAAAAGTAGGAAAACGACGTCCTCCTGATAAACCTGAGCCCACAGTTCAGAGAACCATAAATAATGCCAGAAAAATAAGCGTCACTCAAAACGTCCATTCAGGAGGAGGAGGAGGTGGCTTTAAAGCACTCGCTGAGAAATGGAAGCAACGAGCTGAAGTCGAAGATGATGGTCAGTCGTCCCCTAGACTTGCTTCTCCCATTGGATCTTCTGCCAAAACTGTTGAAGAAGTTCCATCAACTTCTCGAGAGCAGAGACCGAACAGTCTTCCAATCGTCAGAGCTGATGTTCCAGATCGCAAGTTTTCAATGCCTGAATTTGGTAATGCGGGGATTAGAATGCGTGAACGCAGATCAGAAGGCAACGGAGGATCGACAGATATGCCTTCCAGACCATCTAGTCTAATAGAGAGCACCTCCGAGCCCGTGAAAAACCTGGAAAATGACCCAGCGTACTTATCGCAAAGCGGAACAACCGCGAGTAGTTCCACAGACTCGTTAGACGGGCAAGGATCCATTTCTAGAACGGTCAGCAAAGAGGTCTTGGAGGCGTTCTCGAAGGGAAGGACCTTGGGACAGTTTGTCTCTGTCGGGTCCCGGTTCAGCATGAATTCGTCGAATACTCCGAGAGTGTCTGACATCACGAAGGCCTTTGAAGGTCGCAGCACGGGCATTTCGTCGCACATTCGCATGTTTTCCGTAGATTCTGTGGCTTCGGATGACGGTTCTGCTGGCGGCCATTATGGATCTGTGACATCATTAGCATCTGGCACGAGAGATCAATACGGATCGATTTCTTCTTTAGCGTCGTCCACCTCAATCATCTCTTCGCAGGTAAGCCTTTTCTGTATGCGTTTGTTATTATTAATATATCCATTTTTGTTTTCAGGCCAATTCTCATGAGAAAGAAACGTTGATTTCGGTAGATTTACGCCCGTAAACCACAGGTATTTCATTTCACGTAAAAGATATTACTGAAGGCTGTTGACCAGCTTATGTGCAGTGGTGTAAGAAATTACCACTCTTTTGCGCATCTCCTTCTTCACTTGCTGCCAGGTGACGAGGAGGCGCACCTATAATTTCATTTAGATTTGAACCGGCAGCCGTGGCAGCAACATCTCCCGTACCAGCCTGACTACCGATACCGATACACAAAAAATCTTTATTTATTCACGAAATTTTAGTCAAGAAATTGCAATGCTTATTGTAAAGACCTTGCCGATGCAAACTCTGAATCTTTGACTTTGCCAATTCTCTATTATTTAGAACGTTTTTTCCTCATAGTTCAAACTAAAAACGTGAAACCACTTTTGGAAAATTCAACAGGCCATAACTAAATATGCCAATTCATGTTGAAATTTGAGGAACTTTACACGAGCCAAAGTTTACCTTTGAATCGCGCGCTTCTGAGGTTTGCAAATAATATCTTGCCCCACAGTTTCCTATCTTTGGTTTCCGATGATGTCGAACTTTCTTCAGATAAGTTACTGTTGAGATTCCAGTCTTTCAACACAGTGACAAGACGTTATTGCATGTGTTGTGTATTTAATATTAATTTTAAATAATATACTAACTGATGCCCAATCCCGCAACTCGCTTCAATCTTTGTGCAACCACTCGACTAATAACAATAAACAATCTCCATGCGAAACATTTTGCAAGTCCGCTTCGGGTTGTTGATCGGAATAATATTTGACGAATTGAATTGCAAACAGGAAATGCAAATCGGATGAATTTGAACAATTCTGTAAATTTCTAGTTGAACTAAACAAACAAGAATTTATATTCGACATATAAAAAATATTTATGCATGATGCTCATATTACATTATTGTCGTATTGGTATTGGTTTCTTGAAATCTATAATATTTGACTAGGAAACTTCATTTGTACCCTGTGCTGATGACCGTGAAGATAACGGCAAAAAGTATCAATTTTCCCGACGCCGATTCCATCAGCACGCAATAAGCCGCACCATTAAAAAAATTACTACGTTACTGTACTCTGTACATGTTACAATAACTGATAGGTAGATCTAGAGACGGGTTGCCATTGAGGATCCTCAGTTTTCCTCTAAATTGTGATCAAACTCGCATTTAGTCTATTTTTAATACATTTTTGTTTTTCCATTATTCCCAAATCTCTGCAGTGTTCACTCCGTCATTCCGCTATTCAAGTTTAGTTTCTCAAAACTTAGAGTTTGGTACTAATGTTTGAGGTGGTAGCGGCACGTGTTTTGCTACCATGTTTGGTACGTGTTTCATTAGACGCCAGATGGCCTGGCTTGTGGGCATAGCCCACAGAGGCTACTGCCGCTCAGTCTTCGTGCCAGCTGTCTGCACGACATGCGGGGTCGTGTCGCAAATCACTTCGATTCATTAAGGCAATTCATTTCAATTATGCGATAAAAAGCTCATCATCTCAGCGGTTCTTTCATTTTTTTGTGCAATCTCGACACTGTATCGTGTTCCCGCTGATGTAAATTTTTAACTGGAGAATATTCGTAAACGCATGATTGATTATTTTGCTTTTTCGCTGATGATCAATCACCCTAATTTCCTTGAGCCGCTGGACGATCGTAATCGTACACACGGTACGTACAGCGGATCGTGCCGTGTAATAGTACACACGGACGAGTAATATATCATCCGGGTGTACATCGTTGATTCGAGTTTGCATAACCTCTATTATATGCATAACCTCTATTATAGATGCAATTCATGCAAAGCCGGTTACCGAGACGTGGAAGGTTCTTCTCTGAAACAAGACGTTGGGTAATGAAGGAACTTTTTGCTGCTTGGTCTCTCTTTCTCTCCTGTGAACGCCTCGAGTCTTCTCGCGACACGCGCTGATTACACGGCAATTGCGTCACCTATCTCTTCCAAGAGAGCTTTCGCTAGCTATTGCACTCATTAACTATAAAGATTTATTGCAAGAAATAAGCTCCTTGTTATTGCGGTGGCACATGCAAATCTAGTTGCATTGGGGGCTTCTCCTTGACATCTCGCACATGCTGTCAATCTTCAGGATTAATTACATTTGCGCCACATGCGATTGCCACAACTGAACTTGTAATGTGAATCATACCGCGACTTAATATCTCCCTTTCCCTCAGTTCCAACTTGCTTCACCGGCTCGCTACTAGATTGTACTTCCCCCGCTTTCCAACGAGATCTTAAAGCATGTTAAATAGATTATTACCCATAGAACAGCGGGTATTCGCCTACCTTTTTAGCGCATTTTCTCATTTATGGAAAAAATGCACTCTTGTGCTCGCCATGTCCGTCCGTCTGTCTGTCTGTCCGTCTGTCCGTGACCGTCTGTCCGTGAAGTTTTCGTCGACGAGAAAATGCGCTCTCTGTCACTCACTGCAGTGAGTACTGAGTTATATTTTTTTCATATTTTCCTACGTCAATTACTATGTTTACGTACTACTACACGGTTGGATATTCATTTTGTTACTTCTGGCTTTTCGTTGAGTTTTTCGTCAAACGGTGTCGTGTCCTATAAAATTTTTATCGAATATTAGTTTGCCTTCCCTCAAGCTACTTGAAATTTCTACCCATACTCTGCTGGTTGTCAAATGATTTTTATTTGTAGTATTATGCTCTATGGTTTATATTGGTGGTGGCTTTTTATTCTTTGTTTTTCCGTGTGTATGATTTACCCACGTCATGGGAAGATTTTACAATTTTCATTGTACATCCCGCGCAGCTTTCGAATCTCCCTATCCTTCACCTCCGTAGCTTGATGTTAGATTGGAGACACGAATTGAATTTCTTATGTGGCTCCGTGGCGTGGTTTTTGAACTTCTCCAAGATGCTCAGCTGCCACGTAAAGATTTTTCCCATATGTTTCGCAAATTGTTACATGGTTTGCAGATGGGGTCAGTTATATCTCACTCGGTTGTATCTTTGGGAAAATTAGATTTTGTAGTCAGGCGTCCGACTCGCCCAGTGATGGCGGTGGTGACACACCGTTATGATGTGAGCACCGGCCACTGCAGTGCAGTTGTCATGCCCGCGCCGTTACGTTGCAGTCGGCATTGTGTACCGGTCATTAGTGCTATTTTCTGACGGTTCTATTGTGGTTCAGTTTACACACTCCATCGTCAATCACAGTGCGTGATCCAGTCTGCAATATTTGTTAACGGCACCAACGACAAGATTAGACTGCACTGACACTAATAGCTAGTGCTGGGTAATGCAGTTTCTACCTCGTGAATCATCCTCCAAAGTTAGAATTTCCCCCTGCGCTGCTCTCTTAGTTATAGTTCGTCAGTCAATAGTCGCCTTCTCTTCAAGTCTCCTTCTGTATTCCTCCCTTCATGTCTCCTCATTATGTCATTCTCTACTGGTCTCATCTGGTGTTTCTTCTTCGAATTTTCTGCATAGGCCTCCGCTTCCAGTTTCTTTCTTTAAGAATTTCTAAGCTGATCGAGTACTGGAAAGGAGTCGCTTGAGAAGGAGGCATTCACTCCGTTGTACTGCGTCCCCCTTCTCCCAGCACGTGTGGTGTCCCCTTTTTTCCGCGGCATGTGTGGTGTTCCCATTCTTCCCCGGTACGGGGAGCCGAAGATATGCTCTCGCAAAGGTCATCTTTGTTGTGAGTGCAGGTTCTTGTGTGCCGACGAGCGGCGCTGCGAACGAGGCGTGCTTTCGCCCTGGGTTTGTCGGTTCACTGGGGTACAGCGGGAAGGGTACCTACTGCAAAGCGGCGAGTACAGTTAATTGGTACTGAGAACATGCGAGTACGGGAGATACTTGTGAGTGCCTAAGCTTGGCTAAAACTTTATAAACTGTTAAAATGGCTCATACAGGAGAACGTGCCAGCGTTTCTGTTTTGGATGAACGTTCTATAGCACGACTGGTACAGTGGAACTTAGCCAGAGCAACTGGTCCTGAGGAACATTCTATTTCTTATCATTAAACAGGATTGCGCTTGCGTAACCTGTTGCCACGTCAATTTATGGTAAGGTTCATAGATCATCCATGAACAGCTTATGATGGACGGCCATTAATGACCAGTCCATGCACTTCTTTGGAAGCTATGCGTAGGAACGTTACCTTGGGTCGTATTTTTAAAATTACAGTAAATTTTTTATATTTGAAACGCTTATTAAATTAAAATTTAAAGTTTAATTTAATAAATTTTCAAAAAATTATTAAAGGTTGAAACGCCCAATAAAAGGCATTTAGAAGAGTTCTCTAGGCATTGATGGTGTAACAATTTAGGTGAGAGAACCAGGCCTCTGGTATGGGGTTGAGGGAGGCCTGGTTATGGGGTTGCGAACTAAGCCAAGGCGAGAAAACTTAAAAAAGGAGGGGTTGTCAAGGCTGCGAGCTCCCCCTCTTCCCTCCGATGACCATCTCCCCAGCATGGCTGCACCCATTACTGTCTCCCCCAGCATGGCTGCACCCATTACTGTCTCCCCCAGCATGGCTGCACCCATTACTGTCTCCCCCAGCATGGCTGCACCCATTACTGTCTCCCCCAGCATGGCTGCACCCATTACTGTCTCCCCCAGCATGGCTGCACCCATTACTGTCTCCATATTATATCGACTACATTATATTGTCTCGGCATAATATTAACTAGATAACATAACCGTTTCAGCTAATAAAAAATGTATGACTGGAACTTGGCTCTGTTTTGTGCACATGTTGCCGTCGTGTATGGTCCAGTTTTATGTACTTTTGTGTCCATTTTTACATGTGTATACTGTATAATGACGTCGTGTAATAGGCAAATTCTCACACATGCTGATCTTCTTTCTTTGGTTCTACGCTGTAAATTGTACACAATTGATTTGTGAGTAAACAATTGAAATGCTAC